ATATAAAGTATAACTGATTAATAGTTTATAATTGATTTAAAAACTTGTTTTAAACTAGCCATTAACGCTAAGGTTCGAAGAGCATTGTTATTGTAATAGTGCCAGTAAATTTAATTAAACGTGATAATTATTGAGAGAACACAGATCAATCGAGAATAGCAAAACAATCGGAGCAATCGGTTCTTTTCGAAAAGTATAAAAGTATACGCGACAGCTTTGGTTTTTGTTTAATCATTAAATCAAACATAATTAGAGAGGTGTTACATACACATGCTACTGCTATCATTATTACTAACAATTCGCCGATTCGCGTAAAGAAGGCACAGCAGTGTCTCGTATCATGCTTAACACCGAGCCACTACCATGTCTCTAGATAGACTACCATTACTATAAATTACTGCTATATTAGTATTAGTGCTCTACCGTTATAAAATTATTAATATTATCCAGATCTAAAGAGACGAGGTAATCACATGACTATTGCAAATGTGCTTTTCCGATTTTATCATTAAGAGACTTACAAGTAAATCCATGGAAGTGTCCTCCGATTTTGATTTTTGAATAATGAATATGTTTTTTCTAGATAAAAATAAGAAAACCATGTATTTTTTTACACTTTTAGGGAATGCAACACCTTTTTGAAAAAAAGTTATTCTTTCTTTCGAAGCGAATATCGTTGATACTGTAATAAAAATTAAACAGTTTGAAGAATATTAATACTTTATTTTTCATTATCATTTCCTAATTTAGTTAACCAGCGTATAATTTCGTTTTTATCTCATTTCCCTTTGTTAAATATTAAGTTATAAACAAATGAAGATCAATATCGAATAATAAATTGCTTTATCATTATCATTTTTTAATTAATTATAAACAAATAGAGATAAATTACTTTTTCATTATCATTTCTTAGCTTACGGCTCATGACTATTCAAGAATTCTATGTTGACAGTAGCGACACAATATCAAACAGCGATCTGGCGAAACCGGTTCCACACATTCAAGCACGAGCCCATATACAAGTGCTCGCCTTCGGCGCGTCGAGAGTGAACGAGACAGCAAGTTCCTTCTCACATTAGTCGCTTGTTTCAAGCGACCGAAAATGTTTTTTCGGCAATCTCGGCCGCTCGGCGGCCCTAGGTATCAATAAAAAGTGAGGGGCATTCTAAATAACATATAAGTTTTAATAAATTGTAATATTGTAATAGTATACCCTTCCCATTAATCCAAAATAGTATAAATCATGTTAAAACGCAACAGTTTACGAGAAATTTAATTATTTACGATTTTTCATGCGCGTTATATACCTCCTTCATAAACTCGAGTCAAGAATAGTTCAGTAAAAGTAAAATTTTGCCGGAAAAAAATTATAAATCAGCATTTTTCTTCACAAAAATCTTCGAGAGGCTATCAAAAATGAAATGCGTATGTTTGAGATTTGAGACTTATGAAGAAAATATGCGAAAAAAATCGAATAGTTGCAAAAAATACGTTTTTCGCTTATAAAACACGAAAGATATTGATTGTATAAAAAAAAATGGTATGAAAAATGTAGGTATTTGAAATACCTACAAAATGAGACATGGAACATTAAAATCGATCTATTAAGTAGAAAAAAAAAATTAAAAAACACTGAAAAAGGTCTCTTTTTCGCTCTCTGTTCATTAAAATTTAAACGCAAAGCTTCAAAATTTTCGTAAAATGTAGCCTTCGTAATAATGGACAAATCTAGCCTTGAACGAGCTTGAAATGTGCATTTTTGCAAAAAGGCATTTGTTCACTAAAAATCTGTCTGCGGAAAACTTAATTACTTATATCTTTGAGCAATCATAGAGCAATTTACAGGGGTGATTTTTCTTCTTTAAGAGTTGCACTATCACGTACATTTAATGACAAAACGATTTTTTGCAGTTAAACTATTATAAAATGATTTTAAAAAGTATCTTCTTTTCGTATAAAAAAATGGAATAAAGTTAATATGCATCATATCAAATAGCCATGTAAAGCGTTCGACAACTAATATTTTTTTACGCATTTAAAAATGAAAAGGATATCCTCCGATTATTAGGAACCGAGATAACAATTTAAAAAGAAAATCATTGTGGCTCTAATTTTTAAGATTAAGAATTCCATCTGGCACTTTCCTTGACAATTTGTCAAGGAAAAATTGAATTTGCTATTACAAAATTCTTGAATTTTTTGCTGCCGAAAAAGTTTATTTAAAACCATTGAAAAATTGAGAAACGCGAGCGAGGCAGCGCGCTGGGCGGAGTGGGGGAAGCCAGTAAAAAACTGTAATAAACTTATTGCGAAAAATACAACAAGGAATGCAAGAGATCCGGGTTCGACTCTCGGCCGAGGCAATATTTCTCGTAATAAGTTTATTACAGTTTTTTAAGATTAAATTTGGGAAATTTGAGGGGATTATTAATATTTCAGATTGATTGCGTTGAAAGTCCGACAACCATATCGGCACGCAATTATCATTTCTGAAATTAATTCATTTAAATGAATATATATAATAGTTCAACATCTTAACATTCAGACCGTAGTGATGCTTCATATTTAAAGTAATGTATTTAACATAAACGGTCTTATTTCCAATCTTATTGTAATTTGATGCCCTTTTTACATTTTTAATGTCTTTTCCGGTTGATTTTATGAATTTTTGTTAAGCTCTTGTTATTAGTAATAATATACTTTATAGAATTGGAAAGGATTGGGCAGTAGAAGTCAAGCGCAGAAGACGCAAATAATATATCTAAATGTGAAACTTTTTTATTCACTAAAACGCGCTATTTATAATACACTTTATATTCATATTTAAATAATATAATAACGATAAAGTTAATAATAAAAATAATGGTATTTGAAAATAATTAAGAAAATTATTATGTCTTTCTAATAAGTAGATGTAGAGATGTAGAAAAAAGTGCAGAAAAGGTACATGAAAGATGCGGAAGAAATGCGAGAGAGATGCGAAAAGTATAGAAAAGGTGTAGTAAAAGTGTAGAAAAGATGTCGAAAAGGTATAGAAAAGGTGTAGAAAAAGTATAGAAAAAGTGCAGAAAATAAGTGTAAAAAAAAGTGCAGAAGAGTTATAAAAAAGATATAGAAATAGTGCAGAAAGTGCGGAAAAAAATGCAGCAAAAGGAGACAAGATTTTGCGAAAACGACGTATCTGAATAAATAAATTGGGCTGAAAGATACATGCACATACCATATATCTATATATTTACGACAATGAAAATAATACTTAACAAAAATTCGTGAAATCTACCGCATTTAAAATTATGCGATTATAAACAATACAGACGCGTCAAGTATGCTGCTGCTAGAAATCTTGCTTAGTTTGATTTTTTATCTCTACAATTTTCTACTTGTTATCGATGTATCCCTTTCCCATCCCAATTTCCGCGCCTTTCATTACGCTATCTGTTGCATTTCATTCTCTCATTTTTTTGTGCTATACTTAATACACTTCAAATGTCATCCGTACTTTGTATAGTATATTATAATTGTGAGAAATTATTCCATACAACACTGTCTTAAAGGATGCCCAAAGAACGTTTACATCATAAGAATGCCTTCAAGATGCTGCTCGGAGAACTGTGTTCTATGGGACTTTTTAAATAGAAATACTTGAAATATTATTAGGTGTTGGAATTAATTCGTAGCGTTTTACAAGTGATGGGAAGTACTTTCATTAATGTATTTTTTAATGCTCATGTGAAATAAATAACATTCTTTCATTAAAAACGCTACGAATTAATTCCAACACCTAATATTTTTATTTCACTTCTTTTTTTATGGTATTATCTTTGGTATCTTTTTTTTTCAAAATATACTTGACGCATTTTTTTATATTTTTAATATCTTTTTCGGTAGATTTATATTTACTGGTGTAAAAATTGGAAACAATCAATACAGTCTTATTGTTAAAATATTATCGATTAGCTTCACATTTCAAAATACACTTAAGAAAGTTATAAAATAGGCAAAAAATATTCAGAGATTCAGAAAGCACACTCCAAAAGAGCTTAAGAATCTCTAGATTTATCCATTCGATTTACATATGCCAATTCTTAGAACTCTTGGACGTTTCCTTCTTATTACGAGAAGCAAGTCCATCTCATGGTGGGATCGCATATGAAAATGATAAATCTTGCTCAGTTTCTGCTGCCAATCAGTTTATGTCAGTAGGCTCTGCTCGGTTTCTGTTCGCAATTTACTGTCAGGTTATGCAGCAGACTTTGTTTGGCTTCTGTCGCCAATTTGTTGGCATAGGCATGTCAGCAGACTTTGTTATATTTTCGACAGCAGTTTACTGTCAACATTGTCTGATAGTACAAACTCTGTTGTCTACAATTTGTTACCTTTCTGCAATTAAAAGTTGATAGCAGGCTCTGCTTAAAATCTATTTCCCCAAGCTTTGCTATCAGGGTACATAATGCCCAAACTTCTTATCTTTTAATTGAATTTCACTGATTACTCAGTGCCAAATATGCTAATATGATATGCTGGCAATTCAGTACCATGTATGCCACTTCAGTAGATTATCCATTGATTCAGATTTAGAAAGTGTATATCACATGGACATGACGGACATTCTTTCCTCGTCGTTTTTTTATCTTTATGTAAAGGATACAATCTTGCTTATTTTTGCAATTTAATGAAAAAATATAAATATAAAAAAGATAAATTTTTTAACGAAAATAATGCGTTAGTCACACTTTGCTGACATTTTAATCCGAGGAAAAAAACGCTTTTTACGCGAATGATTGCTAGACGTATACTAACGATAAATACTCTGATTAAAAAGCTAAGCATCTGTATCGATAATTGAAGCTTCAAACCTTCAGTCGATGGCAAGTACACGCCCTTCCGATGTCAGAAAGATTCTAAAATCTAGCGTGAAAGATGATCATTTTGACCTAGAAGGACCACGAAGTGTTAAGGTTACCCAAAGTCATATCCTCCTACCTATCCTATAATTTTGATAATAGCTATTTTTTCTCTATCTCTAATCGTTTTTTTTCGAAAAAAACAGTGAACTTTTTATCAGACTCACCCTGTGATATATATCGGGTGTTTCAGGCCATCTTTTTACCTTCGTAAAATAAAGTCCAATTGTAAAAAGTTCAGACAAAAGTTGTACGGTTTAAAAAGATATACTTATTAATCTTATCAGTTTGACCTTAGGTGGCGTTGTCAAGATCAGGTCATGTCGATTTTTTTAAATGGAACATCCTATTTTTTATTCCAAAATCTTATAGTCGATGTCGAGAGCAAACACTATAATAAAGTTATTTTTCATTGAGTACTTTTCGAATTATAAGATTTGAAAGTTACAGTACCGCCACGGCATTAGCATTACGTAAAGTGTCCAACTGACGGCTAAAATCTCTTGAATGTTGTTCAGAATCATGTCCTGGATAACATTCATCAAGATCAAGGCCATTGGAGATTATTCCTCTTATTTTCATTTTTACACTAAAAATTCATTTTTACGTAAATATTTTTAGAAAAATCATTATACATTT